CCTCCCCCCCCCCCCTTGCCCTCCTTGCCCTCCTTCCCGAGGGTGCTGAGGGCCGTTCTGAGGGAGGAGGTGCAGCCGGGGAAGAGAGAACCGATCGTGGATTAGGGGCACAAGGAGAGAATGAGAGAGAGAGAGGGAGAGAGAGAGAGAGAGGCATTAAACCTAGAGAATACAGACACAGGGGGAGGGAGGAGAAATCGGCAGCAGCCTTGGCAAAGTGGCGGTGAGAGCGTCGGAGGAAATGAAGCAAAATAATTTGCGTCAGTGAAAATAGCTTCATGGAGAATGTCATGTAAATTAGACTATTGTTCTATTTCATCACTTTTCCCCCTCTAAAACGTTTAGTTCAATTTATTTCATTGTCAACTACCTGGAGCCTCGTGCCACGCAGTGGTGAATGGCAGTGGGGCGGGGAAGGCAGCGTTATCTGCAATAACAAAATGTTGTTCGGCCGAATAAATTAAATCAATTAGAGGGGGCCACTGGGTGCTTGTGGTGAGGGGCCGGGCTTGGGAAGGAGCCTCAGGAGGGCTGGAGAGGAAGAGGGATTCCTTGTCCTGCCCAGCCCACCTGCTGCCTTGGAAGGAGGTGGGGTGCGATGGCTCTGGGCTGGGCAGGAGGGGGAAGGGGACACCAGGAGGGTGGGAGCAGAGGGCTGCTCTCCCTGCTGCCATGCTGGCTGGCGGGTGAGGGATGGGGAAGGCAGACCCCGGGATACCAGAAGTAGCTGTCTGATCAGGAGATTGTGAATGGGCTAGAAAATAGGGGAGCAAGCCTACCTGCCCCCCACCATGGGTGTGAACAGAAGCAGGGCGGGGGCGGGGGTGGGTGGATAGTAAAAAGGTTAGAGGAAGGAGAGAATGGGCAGAGAAAGATGGCGCTGTGTCTGCAGCAGTGACAGGGGAGTCGGAAGCAGGGCCTTTGCTGCAGCTGCTCCTGTTAAGACCTCCAACGGCCCAAACTATCAGGCAGTTGAGTCAACATTTGTTGAAAGTGTAAGTGGGGATGAAGTTAAACCTACACCAAACCCAAGCCCGAGCCTGGGGCACCGCAGACTCTGACTAAGAAGAAACCGCACCTCCTGTGCTCATTCCACGTGCAGGGGGCCCCCCGAGGCCCCTCACCCTCAAGTCACGCCACAGACGCAGGTGGCGTGAGGCCTACCTCTTGGGATAAAGGCCTACAGCTCGTCCAGCCTGGGGCATGGGTGGCTGTTCCTCCCCGCTCCAGGCCACGTGCTCACCTGGAACTCTTCAAGCTGCCATCGTCGGACGTTGCCTTGGAAGAGGGCCCCTTGTTTTTCGACAACCACGACTTGACCCCGTCGACCCGGTCCTCCAGCTCCGAGTCCACATCTGAGTCGCCCTCGCTATGGGATGAGGAGCAGAAGGGTAGGTGAGGCTGGGGAACAGGTGATCGCCCGCTGCCCCGCGGGGAGCGCTGAAGGGGCAGCAGGTGTGTCTCGGGCGGGGGTGGGATGCAGGGTGGCATGCGCATCAGTGAGTCAGGGGGAACAGAGAGGTTAGAGAGAGCACACCGTTCATCAGAACCCTGGCCCCACTCGGCAGGCCGCCCTGTGTGACAGCCACCAAGACCCTGAGGAGCATGGGGGCACCCCCGTTTCACTCCGTGTGACCGTTCAGCAAACCAACCCAGAGAGAATGATAAGACCACCATTCATTCATCAATGACACCTGGGGGGGCTCTTGGTTAAAGAGAGGAGTCCTGGGCCCTTCAGTTACTCCCTGAGGCCTACTCTGCCATTTCTTATCTACCCACTCCCCAAAATGTGGCTCTAGCTGCTGTAATTTTCCCTGCCTTCCTTGCAAGAGCTGGGCTGCTGGCCCTGAGACAGGAAAGAGAAGGGATTCATTGTGACTTTAAGTTAGCTTGAACCTGGAGTCTCCTGAGCTGATGGCAATGCCAAACCGGGCCCTCGAGGCCATATCCCCGACCCATCCTGCGACTGGCCTGGCCCTTAGGAAACAGAGGGGACAGCAGCATTTCCCGAGGAGCTGGCGACAACTTCAGGATTTAAACTGCACCCTGAGATCCAGTCGGGCCCAGAAAGTCCCGGACAAGGGCTCTGTCTCTCCAAGTCCCCTCTTCCGCCCCTCAGCCTCCAGCTCTTGCCCCTCGGTGCTTCTTTTGGCTACGCTGGCCTGAGCCCTCTCTACTTGCAGGAAAGCCCAAAGGAGCCAAATTCTGAGGCCGGAGTCACGGCGACCCCTCACAGAGCAGCAGGGGCTTGGAGACAGCTTCCGAGCGAGAATGCTCCCAGGATTCTGCAAAATGTCTGCTTGTCACGTTCCCCTGCTACGGATATGCTAGGATTTCTCCTTGATATAAATTTCCTTTCATCTGTGTCAACAGGAGCAGCCCTGTCCCTGAATTATGTTCTTGAATAAATAGCCACACAGGCGTGTGTGCGTGTGCATGCATGCGTGTACACACACACACACACACACACACACACACACACACACACACACGACACCGCCAGACTCTATTCTGGGGACTGTGAGAGAGCATGACTCGTGGGGAGGGGAATAAAAAGGCACATTTTATGGGCTCCCGTCAAATACAGAATTATAACAAAGACGAGGCTGGCTGATGCCCCGGGTAAACAGGAGTTTAGCAGACAGCCCCGTCACCACTAATGCCAGCCCCGTGCTGCCCGAGCCCGGCAGATTTACCGTGGTGCAAGGGCCCCACGGAATGCCAATACCGCCTGATTTATACGCCCGCGCAGAAAACCGCCTCCTCCAGCTTCGCAGCCGGTAATTTATCACCGCCGTTCATAACCATATTGATTGCCTTTAGAAAGGAGGTGCTGTATGCATCGCAAAATCTATGTCTACATGTTAAAAGCGTTTCTGTATAAATCTCCCTTAATACCACGCTGTTTACTGCTTTCATTAAGGTTATGGCAATAACAACTGTATCTCTAAGTAAATCGAAACATTATTTTTCTGCCCGCCTTAGCACGCTCGCTCGATAACTTGGAGCTGAGGCCCAGAGCTGCTGAGGAAGGAGCCGCATCACCTCGCTGCCATCAGCGGGAACCCGGCCTGGACTGCATGCCCTTGTGCGCCTGCGTGAGTGCCCGCTGTGTGTGTGTGTGTGTGTAAGCACCCATGTGTTTTGCCTGGCAATGATTTAGAATACGATCTTAAGTGCACGTTTTATCAGTCCTTGAAGCTGCTACAGCCCAAGGATGGCGGGGCTGGTACACACAGGGGACAGACGCCATGGGCCCAGCATACGAATCGTCCTCCTCGCATTCAGAGCGACGAGTCGGGGGAGACGCTGGCCTGCCCGCCCTCGCCTTCCCTGCAGTTTCAAGCATATAGATGATGTTTGGGCTCTTTACCTTAAATAATCAAGCCCGTAAACAAACTCCAGGGGCAGGCAGGCTCAGGGGGCAGTTGAAATTTTAAATGGTTGGAATTAAACCTCGTGTCAAATACAATTTATGTCCAGGCTCATGTGCTATTAGTTAACTGGGAGCCGAATCGCGGGGGAACAAACAAACGGAGACAGAACGGCGGGGGATATTAATTGTGTGTGACAACTGGGCTCCAGCGGCCCTCTATCACTGTTACACACTATTACATTTATCATTAGCTCACGAAGTCCTCTGCGCCGCCGCCAGCCCATCCTGGCCAGGGCAGGAGGCCTGCCAGGAGAGAGAGAGAGAGAGAGAGAGAGAGAGAGAGAGAGAGAGAGAGAGAGAGAGAAGAGACCCAACCCAAGCTAGAGGAACAATCTTCCCCAAAACAGCCCGGTCGAACTTGGCGGAGGGACACCCGGGTCCGCCCGAAGGCCTGCACATCTGCACCTGCTGTCCGGCTCCCACCCAGAGCGAGGGAGACAACGAGCGGGTGGACGTGCTGGGCTTCCTGCCACCAGCTCAAGGCCCGGGGCCTCCCTCTGCCCGACGTGCCCGCAGGGAGTAGAGTAAACACATCTGGCTGTGTTCCCTTCCCAGCCACAGCAGAGCGGCCGTGATTAGCTGCCTGAATGCTTTCTCCAAACAAGTGACTGCTCGATGCCCCTCACCTCCTGCCCTTGTCTGCCAACGGAGGTGGCAGAACTTGCAAAACGAGACATACCCGCTTCTCTCAGGCTCCAAAGGAGCCCCAGGATGCGGGCAAATCCATCCAAACAGACTTCCCCAGAGAAATAGGCTGGGGAGGCGGCGACACTTGGTTTCGGAGGGAGGAGAGGGCTGGAGCTCAGGAAGGCAGACCTGCTACCTCCTGAGGCGGAGCTCTCCTTGCTGATGGAGCCCCCATCCTGCCCACCATGGCGGGCGGGCGAGCCTTCCTGGGGGAGCGCACCCTGTTGCCTCCCGTGCAGCCCAGCCTGTCACCCGGCCTTCCCTCAGGACAGAGTCAGCGGTGTTAGCGTGAGAGCCTGGCTCAGAGGAGATGCGAGAGGCTGTGTGTCCGCCCCCCCGCCACCCCATGCGTCATGCAGCAGGCCAATTGGGGGCCAGTGTTAGGGGCGGTTAGGCACCACGCCAGGAGAGGCAGAGAGCGCGTGCGCTCCAGTCCTCACGGTTTATTTTTCCTTTTCTGATATTTTGTCACCATGTCCTGCAAACTGGAAACAGAAAGAAAATGGTGGGCCAGGGGGGCCAGAAGAAGACCAAAAAAGTCAGCAGGCAAACCCAGGTGGACCCCTCAGCTGAGGACCCCTCTTTCCTCAGCAAGAGATGGCGCTGGCTGGCTGAGACCAGAGGGTGGGAGGAGTGACGGTGCTGTCCTCAAAGGGAGGTCTGGGCCGCCCCAGGCACCTTTCCCCTGACACAAAAGAGCAGGCGCCCTGAGACCTGCCTGCAGGATGCGGCCCTGGCCCTCATGCAGGAAGGGGGCAGCTCTGAGGACGCTGCTCAGGGCAGCCCTGGGAGCCTCTTCAGGGCCTGACCACCCCTTGCCCTCGACTGCCGGTCTGCCTACCTCATGACTTCCTCCCCAGCCTAAGACTACAAATCTCTCTGTCTCTCCTAAACCATTCCTCGGGTGGGTTTTATGAGAGAAAACCTCTGGCATGGTAACAAGGCACCACAGCCCTTAAATCTCCGCTCTCCCCAGAGCAGGGCAGGCGCCATCGGAAATGCAGCTAAACGGGGGAATAACTCATCCCAAACAGGCAGCGCCGGACAGCCAGGTCCAGGGAGGCCCGGGGAGGGAGGACCGCGAGGATGAGGGGAGGAGTCTCACCCAGGCAGCACCTGTTCTGCCCTCGACAAGTCCGTGCTGGGGTCTGGCAATGAGGGGAGGGAGGCTGGTGGCTCAGTGATGGGCAGACAGAGGATGCAACTGTTCTAGCTAGTGGCCTGGCCCAGAGGCAGCCGAGAGGGCCTCCGTGCTGCCTGAAGCTGCCCTGGAGGCCCCTCTCACCTGTTGATGAGGTCCTCGTTCTCATCGCTCTCCATCTCATCCTCAATGGCGGCCTGCAGGTCCCCGATGCGCTTGAATGCCAGTTTTAGATCGGCCTGCAGGCTCTGGTTAGCAGCCTCCAGACTCTCCAGATCCATTTCCTAGGAGGGAAAGTGGGGAGTCCAGTCCACAGGAGGGCCAGTCTCTCGTCCAGCTGCCCCAGAGAAAGCCTACTTCGAGGCTCGCCCAGCCAGGCAGGAGCTATATAGGTGCAAGTCTACAGGGCTTGTTTATTTGTTTTTTGCTTTGGTGTTGCTGGGCAGTGGTGCCTAGTCTCGCCTGATGGAGACTCTGGGACCACCCTTGGCCTCTGGCCTGCCCTCGGGGCTCCCTGGACTGTCCTCTTTCCTCCAATTCTCTAAACCATGGTTTCTTTGGGACCCCCCACCCACCAGCCCAGGGGTACGGTGTATCAGAGAGCTGCCAGCGTGGGGCCCCAGGGTGGGGTGCATTACCAGTTCGTGCTTCTTGCGGCTTGCCTCGGCCTCCTTCCTGGCCAGCTCGCCCATCTCCTCCTTGGTGTCCCGGAGCTGCCGCTGCAGCCTCTTGTTCTGCTCTTTCTCCCGGTTCTCAGCTGCGGTGCGCTGATCCCGCTCCTCAGTCAGCTTCTCCATGTTCTCCTTGAGCCGGCTGGCCAGGCTCTGGACAGGGAGGCGGGAAGAGGGGCCCATCAGCCAGGCAGAGAGAGGGCTGTGGCGGAACTCCGGAGTCAGGAGGCCTGGGTTCCACTCCGGCTCCCCCACGCACTGGTGGGCAAGCAACTAAAGCCCTCTGAGGCAGCCTCCTTTGCCTTTCTGTAAAATGGGAGAATAACATCTAGTCCCCGTGGGTCTTTTAAGGACCGAGGAAGGTAAAGTAGGTGAAGGCATGGAAGATGACAGGTGCTAGCAGCATCACCCTCACTACCGAGAGCTGCCTCCAGCTGCGCCTGTCCTATTGACACCACGTGTGGGGCCTCCACAAGCAGCAGGCTTCCCTCTGAGACCCCGAACCCAGAAGCACCAAAAGCTACATCCTGAGCTCAGAGGTAAATGGTTTTACTGAGAATTCCCAGATTGGGCAGAGACTTAGCTGTCATCAGATTCCTAGCACAAAGCCATCCCTCTAAGCCTGATGCATCTCTTCCCTCAGGACCATGAACACACTTATT